ACGGGGATGCTAGGAGTTTAGACTGTAGCTCACATGACGCCGCAACTCTCCTGCAGTCTCCTCAGGAATTTCTCTCTCGCATGTTATAGTAGAACCCCTCGGGTTTTTGAGGAAGAATAGAAATGCCATTTCCGTATAGGTTTTTTAGGAATTTCTTTTCATATGTATTATAGTAGAACACCTGAGGTCCTTAAGGGAGCATTCAGAATACCATTTTGTTGTAGTTCTCTTAGGACTTTCTTTGCACATTTATTTTAATAGAACCCCTAGGTCCATAAGGAAGTATTGAAAACACATTTTTTGTTATGTGTGTGTATTTGGGGGGGAGGGGTTGCAGTCTCTGCAATGCACAACTTGCACCTGAAGCCTACGTGCTGCCCCCACCCTGTAGCAGTTGGATTAGATTTCTATACTACAGTTATATATAGCCCTTAATATGACCCCCTGCAGCTGTACTAGGTTCGCCAGTTAGGAAACTAGGTGACGAAGATCCAGGTTCGACTTTGCTACGTTAAGCCCAACAGCTCCAATCCTACTGACACCCTAAAGTCAAACCTTCCTTGGACTCCCAAATGTATGTAGAATAATGGCCTTCTTGGCTATTTTTAAAGGGGATTTTGGGCCATAAACCCTAAACCCTAAACTCCAAGCCTCTAGAGCTGGTAGAGGACTGGTCGACTGTGGAGACCTTGTTGCTGAAGGCTGCCCGTAGAGCCATAGGGTTTAGGGTTTAGGGGGGTTTCAGCAAGACAGCTGCGGTTTAGAGGGTTTAGGGAAATAGTCCCCCTCAAGTAGATAGAATATGGCTTTGGGTAAATTCGTATAAGATCCCCATATACCCCATATTCTATCTACTTAAGGGGGACTATAGGGTCCCGCAGAGACTGTTGAAGGTAAGACCCGAAATCTCTTCAGGCCCAAAAAACCCTCATGTGAAGGGCATAAGGGGTCTCTGCCACCACTACGTGAGTACTTGAAAACAAGAACGAGCTGCGAGCAGAACGCTTGTTGTCACGTGCCCTGATTTGCGGGTGGAGCAGAATTTTTGCCACCCACGAGCTTGCTCCTACAAATCTGTAAGCGTGCAGTGGAAATGCACCCAGCTAGGGCATGTCTTGGTGGTTGTTAGTATGGAATGGACCGGCATATACATCCCCAACAATATTGTACTTCCCATGTTCGTCTCCATTCCTCCTTTCCTTCTTAAAGATCCGCTAGTCTAACGTTGGTTATAGTAGGGAATAAAGGAATTTTAACTCCATATTACATTCCCTACATGTCCAATGCGCCACAGTAGAGTCGCACCGCTTGCAAAAGTAGACATCTGCCATCCTGCGACCCAGATCCGGGCCTCTGAGGAACTGCTAATCATCCCCACTACTCCTGCCAGCAGCGGTAGCAGGCAATCATATTACAAAAAGAAAAGGTCATGAGTGTGACAATGATAACAACCAAAAAATGGCCGCGTGCAACAGAATACATTCCCTCATTCCCTAAGTAAAGGTCATCCGCGGCTGCCTGGAGACATGCCTGCTCGCTTCAAAAACCTGGGACTTCCCTGTGGATGCCCCTTATCTCAAGGCGGGCGAGGTTTCCTTCAAGATAGGGGTTAGGGCCGGTTAGGGTTTACCGGGAACTAGGGTTTAGGGTGTAGGGCTCAGGGGTGTATTGAGGATACTGGGGGGCTCTAAGGAAAACACAACGCTTGAGAATGAAAGTTCATGTGGTGAGCTGCTGAGTAGTTTACTGGTGCTGAAACGTCCTTGTTTCGGAGTTGCGCAAACGAAGGTTTCGGGATCTTCGGTGTTCAAGATAGAGTGAATGGCCTGTGTCCAGGGGCGGGTACGGACAAATCTCTCCGGAAGCGGAGTATCATAGGAGCCTCAACGATGTCGGGATACATTCGCAGATCCGTGTTACAAAGTTTCAGCCCCCTATTTGAAATATATACCAAAAGCCATGCCATAGGTCAAAAGGGAAACTATGCTGCAAGGCCTGCGCAATGATTTTCAGACCCCAGCTGCTCTAGCTATTTCTTTTTCACAGGGTGCACGAAAGCATGGGCGCGGGGGTGGGCTCATGCAGGTCAGGGTGAGGGCCTGCACCCCCTTACGGAGACACCCTTAGCCCTAAACCTTCAACCCTGTATTATATGTCTGCATGGACCCTTTGCGAATCGGAATCTCTCTTTCAGTGCTGATTCAGGCTGCGCAAAAAGTGCGGCGAAGCAACTGGCCCTGGCTTGGGTTTGAGCTTTAGGGCTTAGTGGTTTAGGGCTTAGGATTTAGGACTTAGGAAGTCTAGGGCTTGGAATTTCGAAGATTCGAGTTTACGCTAAATTTGCGATTCTAAGGCTTCAGGGCTTTGGACTGAGGTTGTTCAGGCTGTTAACAGTTTTGGAAGCTTAGGACTCAGGATTGTCCTTCCAAAGCAGCGGCTACATAAGGTGCCATGTTATTTAGGGAGGGCCGCAGCCGCTTCTTCCGCCCCGTCTGGATCTTCTGTGATGCGTGTGAGTGCATGATTTGTTCCGGACATTCGGGAAAGCGCTCGGGAATGCCTGTGCAGGTTCAATTTTTTGGCCAACTCAACGTCTCAATTCCAGATGTGAGGCTCCACACTAACACTTGAATTTTACCTGGACCCTTGTGTATGCCGCCCCGTCTTTAGCATACCTTAGGAGGACCCCCCGACCCTGCAATAGTGCTATAGTAGGAATGTAATAGGACCTTAACATAATCCTTATTATCCCTTATAGTCACTAATACTGGGGGGTGCTCCACCCAAAGGATACCCATGTACGAGTCCAGCTGACCCTAAGTAACATTCTGCCGAGGCTAGTGGCGTGCTGAATCAGCTGGCATCCCCAACAGAACCCCGAACCCTAAACCCTAAAGCCGGCCCTGAAACCTAAACTGGCTTGCTGGTGCGTAAGGAATTCTTTGAACTAAGCGACTATAATCCGAAGATGCAAGAAATAGTAGGGTTTTCTTTACAACGGTGACTTATTTTTGAGTTGTTTGAAAGCAACCCAGGCGGCCTCAGAGACCAGAACAGTTCAAGGTAAGAGGAGTAGAGCAGCACATCAATTACGAATACCTTGTGGACACTTCCCCACACCTAACCACAGCTAATGACAAGCAGAATAACATTACCATTGCGGGCTTTGCACAATATTATTAATGAATTAGATTCTTCAAGAGTTATTGTTTCTGGGGGGGTTACCTACAAGAGGGAGGGGGCATACATCCTTGGGGCCTCAGCTTTTCCCTGCGTCATCAAGCCTTCAAACCTCTTTGTTTAATCCTCAACTTTTACATCCAGCGCACCCCATAAGTTTAATTCAGGAATTTCCACCACATCATGTGAGGGATCCCAACACCACCAAAGGGCTTTGGGGTTAGGATACATTCCTTAATTGAGACGGTTATTGATCTCTCGGAGTACGTGCATGTGAGCCAAGGCTTTGGTGATGCCCTAGAGCCCCCAAAGCCTCCGCTGTAAAGTCTAGGGTTCATGGTCTAGCCACTATGCCCTTGAAGTTCTAAAGCAGTATACCGGGCCCTAAAAAACCTTATCTTTAGACCCCTAGGCCTTCAAGCAAGTAATTGCCTGCCTCAAAATCCACCCCCTCACCTAATAAAAAAGGATTCCCCGTACACATATTGCAGTGTACTACAATGGGAACTTGGGGAATGAGGGGGGGTTCAACAACAGGGGAGGCAATTGGTGAGGAACTCCGTATATGCCCTAACCTTAATCCCAAAGCCCCAAACCCTTCAGAATCCCTATAATCCCTTTCAAGGTACCCCTAATTCTGAGGAACTCCATACATGCCCACTTGGGGCAATGGCTCTGCAGCAAAGACCTGCGAAGAGGCGAAGGCACACTGGAAGCAGGCCCTGGGGGTAATGATAGAAAGTAGGGTTTAGGCTATCAGGCTTTAAGGTTTAGGATTTGGGGTTTAGGCTTTCGGGCTTTGGGTTTAGGACGTAGGGTTTTGGGTCTAGGACATAGAGGTCCTGATGCCAACGCCCAAGCATGTGGAGTTAAGTCTTGAGACACAACTGTTTGAGACTGCAAGGCTTCATGACATCTGTTGTTGTGCAATGGATGGTGCGTCAAGTTAGCGGGTCGAGGTTTCTGAAGCGGTTAAGGGTTAGGGTTTTGGGTTTTGGGTTTGGACATGGAGCCCTGACACCCATTTAGCTGTAGGTATTTGCTCACAACTAGAATCTGTACAGGAAATTTCGACATGCTTGGATGAGACTGCTTCGTAGTTCCTCTAGTGTTGGTGTGGAGGAAGATATGTACTCGTATCAACAAGGTCTTCAAGTCTATGTGAGATGTAGTCTAAACTCCTGTCAGGGGTTATATAGGAGATTACAAAGAGGAGTGAGTATTGTAGACACGGCTCATTTAAGGGGATGATAAGAGTTTAGACTATAGCTCATGTTGTGGCTTCAAGATGAGGTCGACAACGATAACTGACCGCTTCTACAGCTGGATTCAGGTCCCAAACGGTCCGTGTGGGTATATAGTGTATACTAAGGGCCCAAAGGATTTCCCACATACTTATTTTGGGGCTCAAGTAGAGACTATATAGTTATATGGATGCTTTGGGGTTTGATGAGCATCATTGAACCCTAAACCCTAGACCCTATTTCCTCCTTCGGTTCACCTCGAGGTTCATGGCTAGCGACTAGCAGGAGACCAGGAGCAAAGGTAGGTGGAGAGGGAAAGAGGGAGAAAAGGGAGAGGGTAACAGAGATGTAGGGGCAAATTCAATCATAATAGGGCTTGGGGGGAGTACAGTCTCAATGGCAATAAAGATCGTAATGCCACATAGTGGTGGCAAGAATTCCACCGGACTGTGTCGTGGAACTTCAGATTCAAGGATGAGATTAGGGCTAGTTGGCATACGACATAAGGTTCAGAAGTTGTCTTACAACCAGTTACGGTGTGGAATTATCCATGAGCCTCCAAGCATTTCACCACCACAAGTTTCCGACTCTGCTTTTTTCGCTCTTTTTCCTGTAATGTACAACACAGCGCCAGACCATTTCGACACTACTCACTACCCCCTGCACCGTCAGAGCTGCGTCCCTACTCTTTCATGGAGACCCCCTCGTGAGCGTCAACGCAGGCCAAAGCAAAGGAGAAAGAGATGCGACTTGCTTGACATAGCCGACGTCGCCTGTAGCCTGTTTTAATCCAAGGTTGGGTACACTTTTCATTCACTTTTAACTTTTGGAGTTACGAGGGGGGAGAACTTCTAGTTCATGGATGTTTCCATGAATAACTGCTCCAAGATAGATTGCAATATTCTATGGCACCCTAGATCGGGAGCCAATTTGCGGTACTCCCCCTCAACAGGGGTTTGGATTTCGGGCAGGTGTTATACTCGCCCAAACTAGTATGGAACTCCAAACGGGGACCTACATAGACTACCGTCCACATATGACCTTTTCCTTATGTAGTCCCTATATATTCCCATATTCCCTACTAGCCATAAGCCCTAAACCCTACATATTCCCTTATTCCCTTTTAAGAACCGTTAAGTAAAGTTCTTGAGTACAGTACGGTCTGCAGGATGTTTGTCCAGTACAGAATTCGTCTTGAAGGCAGTCTAACCTGAGTATAAACAAAGGTTTTAGGGTTTGGGTTGTAGAGTTTCAGGGTTTAGGGTTTAGGGTTTGAGGGTTTGAGGGTTTAGAGTTTATAGGGCTAAGGGTTTAGAGAAGCCTCCGCAAGTTTGTAATTACTTGCAACCTCACCATGATGCCTCTTCGCTGCTTGCACTACCTTCCCCTCCTTGTGAACTCTCCTCCACATGCATGCTTGAAATCCTCTCCCGCTAATATTAAACCTCCCCACACCCCTAATATTAGGGGAGTACTTAATATTAGAGGGGAAGTGGGGGTTATTATCATGGGGAGAGGATTAGTATTTCCAGTTTCCCATGGTCTCCAACTCTGGAGTAGCATCAAGAAACATCCCCGAAGAGCCTTTGCTAAACCCAGACACCCCAAAAACAAATTTCTGAAAAGCTTCAAAGCCCTAAACTCAGAAAACCCCCCTGAACCCTGCACCCTAAATGCTAAATCCTAAGCCCAAAACCCAACAGGAAGCTTTCAGAAGCTTCAATTGCTGCTGCCTGGATGGATGATGTTGGTGGCAAGCTCTCACTTCTATGGGCTCCTGGGACCGCTTCCTTCTCTAGGCTTGGGGTCTAAGGGCTTAGGGTTGTAGAGTCTAGGGTCGAAGGGTTTTGGGTTTAGGCTCTAAGGGCTGAGAGTTTTAGATTTTCGGGTCGAAGGGTTTAGGGTTTTGAGTTTTCAGTCTTAGGGTTTAGGGTTTAGGGTCTCAGGGTTTAGGGTTTTAGAGTTTAGGGTCTCAGGGTTTAGGGTTTTAGGGGGGCTTACGAGCTCGAGGGAGAGGGGTAGCCGGTACATGAGCTGTGGAGGGAGTGTATGGCTCCGCTTTAGACACAGGGCCTGTTGAGCATGGGCCAGTTTCTTGCGGATTTGCAGGATGCATGTTCTAGCATAACCCCCTTGCGGGTCCCCTGTGAAAAACAGCCGCTAATACTTCAGGGACCCCAAAGAGGGACCCTAAACCCTAAATCCTACACGGCGTTCCGATAACTTTCCAGATAGCTAAGATACAGCCGCTCTCATTTCCCGGCATCCGACCCTAGGTTGTGCATGACTTGGTGGCTCTATGCCCTTGGACCTCCAGCATGGATGCTGGCTCTCTCATGAAGCACCTGGACCCGCTTTTTTTAGGAGTTATGTGACTGGAAGGGCTCAGAGGGGTTGGGTTCCGAGAAAACAAAACCATTCGTGATGATAGTAAGCGCTGGGAATTCTCACGTTGAGCAAGCCGCATTGCGATCCGTCGTCCTTTTGCGTCATATAGCGCGTACACGTAAATGCAGGATTGTAGGCCTGCAGATCCCTGAGCCTGTGTTTTTCTTTTCTGTCTTTGTCTTTGTAGACCCCATAGACAGTGTCATTCTTAAGTCCAGAGACTCCTCATCAAAAGTGGGAGGATGATGGCGCTTCAGAGACTTCAGGTACTGGGGGTTAGCACGAAATAAGGAAACATAATCCCTGTGTAATATAAATTCCCTACTACCCCCCAGTAGCTTCAGGTACATGCAAGAGGAGTGTGAGGAAACAACTGCAGAGATGGCAGCGCTCCGAACAAGAGCCTTTGGGGGCCGCGACCTGTCGGAGTGAAGAGGTTTAGGGGTTTAGGGGGTTCAGGGTTTAGGGATTAAGGTTTAGGGTTGAGGTTTTGGTGATTTGGTAGTGCTCCCCCTCTAATATGAAAAGCCCCAACCCCCCAAAAATTAGACATTCTCATTCAACTGTGGTATGTCATATTTTACGGGGAGCATGTAATCTTAGGAGGGTGGTGGGCTTGAATATTAGGTGCAGCGGACTAGCTTCCGTACATAGGGAGAGCCCATCGCAGACCCCCGAATACCATATCTACTGTCCTTACTATGAGGACACGCATAAAAGGGATCCCTATTTTTTCGGAAACGTCCCAGAGTAAGGCTAGACATTGCAATGTTAGAAGTTGTAAGACCTGAGGCTCAAAGTTTCTACCCAAACCTTGGATACTGCCCCCATTCAGTAACAGTTGGATAATATTTCTAATATTGTTCTATATAGCCCTTAATATGACCCCTAGTATAGACTGTTACTGAGTGGGGGCAGTACCCAACCTAAACCCTAAACCCTCATAGTCTCAGACCACTGGACCCCGGAACAGTTCCTATGCCAGCAGCGCCGAAACCCCAAACCCTAAGTTTGTACCCTTTTTCTGTTTTCAGGAAACTGCTTCAGAGCTTTGAACTTGGAAACTCAGGGTGACGTCAAGTATGGGGAACTTCAGGGTATATAGGGGCTTCTGAACCCGAAAGCCTATATGACCAATATATAACCCCTTCAAGGGAACCCCTAATTTTGGGAACCCCCCTCCATTTGTGTTTGCGCAATGCATACCTTGATTTCGATGTTTTGCTGGGCGGGTTTAGGTTCCACAAGTTTTGGAACTTTTCCACTTCCGGCGCAAAACTTCATCAACACCAAAACCCTAAGCCCAAAACCCAGGATCTTGGACCCAAGTAGTTGCCGACTTGGTTGCGGAGCTTGGTTCCACAACTGCAACAGCTCGGTTGCGTCTATTGGGCTGGCTTAGTTTCGGGGCTTAGGGTTTCTGGTTTGGGGGTATGATGTGTCTTTCAGGCCGTATGGAATTAAGACTTCTGAATTCCCAAGGGTGGATTCCACAGGGTGTCACACTCATGCTCTACAATTCCTTCAGGTTCCAAGCGCCTCTTAGGGAACATCAGGAAAAGATTTGATGACGGTTGGGACCTCCTCTTCCCTGAGAGTCGAATACCCTTACAAGAAGAAACCTTAGATCATGTAAGGGACCGTTGTATCTTTTGATTTGGGGTTTAGGGTTCAAGTTTAGGGCTTAGGGTTTGAGTTTAGGGTTTAAGTTTAGGGTTTGGGGATTAAGGAATATTCCTGGATGAAGGGGCTTTGGGCTCTTTAGGGCCTTAGCATCTACTTTTGCTTCACTGATCAGATGCTGGAGGTTTGAGGCAGTTGGCTGGTTGTGCGCTAGTCCATGTGTCAGTATGTGCTGGGTACGGCTCCGCCCAGCAGCAGCCTCTGAAGGCCCCCTTAAGTAAATAGAATATGGGGTGATCTGTATATGGGGATCTTATCACAATATACCCAAAGCCATATTCTATCTACATAAGGGGGGCTGTAATACCTCTGTACTGCATAGTTGGCCTTGCACAAGGCCCCTTACTGTCCCCCGCCAAAGTCCAAAGTCAAACCCTAATCTAAGGCGACGTGCAGTTTACACTGCTGCTTTCACTTTACATCATCGCGCGGGACTCAAACGTCAGTCCTGTGGGGCTTATTCGGACACTGACTTCCCGCGTGTGCAAGGAAAAGATGCGTTCAGGGTTCAGGGTTCGAAGAAGAAGAACAGAGCAATGGTTGCTGGGCTTAGTCAGCTTTGTTGGGCGTGATGCCTGTGACCAATAAAGCCCACACAATGAAGCAAACTCTCGTTAGCACGGAATATCCAAGCCAGCGGCTGGAACGAGCTTTGTCTAGGTTTAGGGTTTAGGGTTTTCGTTTAGGCTTAGGAAAGTTGAATAACCCTGCAGCTGACAGATTGAATGTAGGCTTCCGAATTATAACTCCCCATAATATGTAACGGGCATTTTTCGAACATTCCTTAACATGATTTCATGGGGAGGTAGACAGATTGCCAGACAGCTTATGGTAAGGTGAAGGGACTAGGGCCCCCAACAACTTTAGACCCTTCGCTGCTTCTCTATATGGTTGTTTGGCGAGGGGAGTCAGCAGCTGGCGGCATGAATGCACGGTTTGGGGGTTGAGGCTTGGTTTGGCGTAGCCAGCATAACGAGGACTATTGAAGAATTGTTACAGTGTTACAGCAAATGAGCAAAAGTATCACTTAGTTTGAGGAAGACCCAACTCAAGAGGTGACCTGTGACAACATTGCCTTTTTGATGAACCCGGCTTACTGTAACTAAGGAAGTCCGAGGACCCAATCATTGGCCTCAGGTCGAGGTCCGCAATTCTCAAGCGAGGGGTGCTCACAAAAAATCATTCCGACTTCAGCTCCCAAGCCCTAAACCCTAAACCTTTGCAAGTCGCAAACATGGCACGCTTTTTGGATTCAAGGGTTGGGTTGAAGTCCTGCTATAGACCTGAACTTTCACCCGTTAAACCCTCAACAAACTTCAAACCCTGAAGCCCTGAATGAACCCCAAAACAGCACGCCCAGCATTTCCTGAATGCTGTTGCACGCCATGGGGTACGGAAGGCCCTAACTCCTAAGTTAGATTCCAGGAATCCTAAACCCAGGAAGCGCGATGCTTAACACATATCAGGGCGTGTAGTCTCTTGTATGGGATATTCCTTAATCACGGAGTATGTTATTCATATTAGAGGCATATTCTTGAACAAAGAGAAAAAAGGTATTGCGCTCTCTGGGAACCTTCTTCGCCAGGATCCCTACAACCTTGACTCCTTGTTCCTGCTGGATCAGCCCCGGCCCCTGCATAGAGGTTCTACATTGAGGGGCCCTTTTAAAAGGCGTAGGGGTTAGGGTGTAGGTAGGGAGCATATTATATGCATGTAATAAGCACATCATATCCCTATTGTTTAGGGCTGAGGATTCAGCCTTTAGGGTTTACGGCTTAGGATTAAGAGTTTAGGATTCAGAGTTCAGGGTTATGCTCATTCCGAGGACGCCATGAAAGAAACCCCTCATTCTTTGGAAGCTTTGATCCCCATCACTCCTCGTGTAAACACGGTTGCCACTTCATGTTCGATGTTGCTTTTACTTCGGGTTCTCCAGCTTCAGAATTCAAACACGGCCCACATGATTCCTTTATAGCCCGTATATTATCCCAGATAATCCTGACATACTCTTGGATATGCACCCAAGATCTCCTGGGCAAGGTTCAAGAGTGAACTGCGCAAGGGGACCAGTCTGGATCCAAGCTTTATCACATCCTGCTGATGCTTGCAGTGGGGGGGGGTGATCACTGCAACCGTCATACTTTAGGGTTTAGGGTGTAGGGTATTAATTGGCATCTACTCCCCCACTCACCGCCCTTCTGCACCAGTAAGTGTCTGTCGGGCAAGATCTTGCTTAAGCAGTTTTTTTCATGGGGACAGAGCAGTCCCCGATACAGAGTAAGAAATTTCTCCCTTTGCTTATAGTATGCTTATAAGGAAAGGTATTTGGTAGTTTCCCAAATAAGGGGACCCCAATATAGACCCCAAGATATTATAGTCCTTATTAACGGGACCACCAAAATGGTACCCCTAATCTTGGGCAACTTTTATTTCTCCTTTGTCTAGCCGGGGCAAAGGCACCAACCACTTGGGGGCCTCCAAAAACGAGGCAAAGTATAACGACTACACCTGGCCTCATCTCAGATGGTGGTACCCTTCGCAAGAAGACCCTAGGGCTCCAAATAGGCCAATGCAGGTACCATTTATAGACTTTGGGGCCCCATGTAGGTACTGTTTATAGACATGGAGCCCCAGGGAGAGGTCCTAGAGAGGCTTTATGTGAGGCTTCCGAAACATTTCCTGCAGCTATACCCGCCGACAATGCTGCTACAACAAAGGGAGCCAGCCACTGGAAAGGCTTTCATCCACAAAGCATACACCTGCATATGGGTGGTTGTCAAAATTATGGTCCCTTTTGAGGTACCCTAAATATTAGGTGCCATATTATAATAGGCCATAGTTTTGACAACCACCCATATGTAGGAGGACCAGGGAACAGCTCACACAAGCTCTGCACCGTTCGAGGCATTTTTGTCAGCAAAACGTTCTGTCAAGTAGGTAAGGCCCGTCACATACGGGTTGCAGGGCCTCAAGGACACAAGCTCAGCTCAGATGTTCAACATGTGTTTTTCGGGGTCAACGTTAGGCCTTTAAGGTTCTGTGCGGATAAGGGATACTCATTCAAGTTACACAGACATGCATTTTCCTAGGGGAGTAAGGGTCGGACTGACTTAAGGGTCGCGAATTATTATATTCTCAACAGTAGTTCAACACTGACAAGAATCATGGAAAACCTAAACCACAAGCGCCAGACCACAAACCTCATGGTTTAAGGCCTTACACTCTGAAAACCCCAAACCCCAGACCTCTACTTAAGCTAGACCCAAAAGCGTCCACTCTAGACCCTACACCTGAGCATACGCAGCTACCAGAATCTCTTGCATTTTGTGACCTAAGGGATGTTGCCGGAGAGTTTTGTTGCATGACACGGTTCAGATTGTAGAGTCCTCCTTCAGTAATCAGGAGATGGAATGACCAAATATCAGAATAAGACCCCCATACACCCCACCTTCTATCTACTTAAGGGGGGGTTCTATATATATATATATACACCCTAAATCCTTATCCCTAAGCCCTATATCTGCTTAAAGGGGACTAGAGATCTTGGGAAGCGATGATGCAGGTCTCAACCCCCTCCAGGCAAGCATCGTGGTGCCGCCCCCAGCCCTGTGAAGTCTCCTGCTAGGAGGGTTTAGGGGTTTAGGGT